ACGCCAGGGAAAAGCGATGAATATTCATGAGACGCGAGTATAATGCATGTCTTGCATGTCACACAAACGTGCTGCTTAAGCACGACGAATTCGAACGCGATTCGCGATCTGTCGTAACACGCTCATAACAATGTCCTTTAACAGCCGATATGTGTTCGACAGCGACTGGTGTGCGCGAATAAATCAGTAAACCGAAGTAAACCGTGATGACGTTACGTTAATGAGATTGACATATTTAAATCCGAATGTAGGTTAAGCAGTAATGACAGCAATGAAAGAGACACGGCAAACCAGACACAGGAATTGGAAAAGAGAAACTTCTCGAGAATACTTTATTTACAACGGATCACTTTTATATGACATTCTCTTTATACCGCATTTATGCAAACCATTAATGGAATCTTTTTTGCAGTGCAAAAACGAAAAAAACTCATGGAACAGAACACACACTGAGAGAAATTTTAGTATATAAAATTTTTTAATTGCAATGTGTGCAATTTATGTTGTTGATACGTGACTTACAAAAACTTTTTTACTTTGTAATTAAAAAATTTCGTTGTGCTAATCATTTGGTACGAATAATTAAATTTTATTTTGATTAAATAAATAAAATTTTTTAATTAAAAGATAAGAAAATTTTTGTAAGTCGCATATCAACGAAATAAATGATAATTCATATCAAACATTTCTTTCGGTGCTTTCGCGGGACGCGATGTAACGGATGAGAGAATCTCGCGCGGTTTTTGGTGTCGAACGAACATGAACCATCGATCGAGATAATCGCGCGAAATAGTAACGAGAGGGAGGAAAGGAGGCAGTGAGATAGAGAAGATTTATTCATCTGGGACAGTTAGGTATGCCTCAATAAGAAAAGATATACATGAAGCTGGTACATGAGCCACGATTACAGTTAGTCACGGGAACCGGCGAGTGTGCACTTGAACGGTGGAGTTAAACGGTATTTCCTCGTTTTTTGTCAAAAAATTCAACGAACATCACGAAGCGCGAGCTACCCGATTCACGGTCGATGTGTCACGTCGAGACGCTAATCTTCGCTGCTTCATCAGACGTAGCTCTTGATATTCATTATTCAAATGACAGGCACTGGCGATAACGCTCGAATCGGGAAGCGATGCAACGCAACGCAATGTAATGAGATTTCGATTATCGAACAGATAATCGAAATACTCGCTGTCGTTTCGCGAGGAAATGATTGATACGCGAGAAACAAGTGGATTCATGTTCGATAAAACGATAACGGGGTAGTATGACTCAGCGTAGCGTATCAAACTGATTTTTCACCCAATCTCTACGAAACGTACTAGAAAATACGTATATATCAACGTAACAAAATCTTATTGCTGAAGAAATTTAATATTGATTACTTAAACGAGGAAAATGAAATGAATAGTAATAACATGCGGAGAGAATATTGCCGAATAAAAAACATTTCGTATTTGTGTTGGAAACGGTCCATGCGAGTTCTAGTTAAACTTTTGTGTTGAATTTTTTACCATGTTCGAGTGTTAATTTAATTAAGTTATTTAAACAGTTTGCGTTAAATTAATATTCAACGTTTTTTTAGCGTTAAAAGAACACAATTCATGAGTGAGTGAGCAAACAATATAAAAATGTGTTTTAAAACATAAATTGTAAGATAAATAAATAAAATATGTATTATAATTGAATATATACGTAAATGTTAATTTTTATTGGAAAAAAATGCTTTCATAGTTTATTTACAAACTGTGTCAGCATTATCTTTTTTGTGTTTATTTTTTAAATAATATTTATCACGAATGTACCGATTATCTTCTAACATATTCATTTTATGTTAAATTAAATATATAAATTTGAGTGGACCGTTTGGAACGCTTGAAATATGTTAAATTTAACACAAATTTTCCAACGGTGATTTATTCGTAGAACTAAGATCGTTTTGAACCAAAATTTTTACACCACTTGCAAGTCGGAATGTCTTTATGGCGAAGAAAAGGTGCTCGCTCGAGTAATCGAGATAAGTGACGCCTTAAACCGGCGCGAAATGGTAGAAAACGAGAGATCGAAAGAGGAGCAAGAACTTGCCGAAGGGAAATGAAAAGAAGGAGAGGGTGGTGTGCTCTCTCTCGCGTGTCATCATATCTGGTGCATGACAGCTGCCGCTAGTCTTGCTCAATCGGGGAAATATCAAGTTTCGTTTATAAGCGGGAAATGTATTTCGAGATATAAACCGCTGTACGCTTATGAGATCCGAATTGAGAAAAGAGAGAGAAAAAGAGAGAAAAAGAGACATGAAAACTTGGCACGGCAGAATTGATATCCTGCAAAATATCGCTACGAATTTTTTGAGTAGAGCTACTTCAGTTGGGAAAGTTTGAAAAAGTAAATTACGGAAAAGTTCATTTCAGTTTGGATAAAATGAAAAAATTACGAATCTATAAATAACTTAAAATAAAAATATAATGAAAATAATAAGAGTATTTTTAAGCAAACATTTTTTTTAAATTTGAAGTTCCAAAATGATAAATGAATCGTAATGTATATAATATATATCAATTATAATGAAATCAAATGTAATTGGAAAACTTAGTTCAAAGTAGAGGAACACCTAGAGAAAAGTTTCTTCGATTTAAAAAAATGTTTCTTTGCTATACACGGTTAAAGAAAAAATTTCTTTAATTTGAATCATCATCATTTCTTTAATTTAAATATTATTTTTTGAAAACAAATAAAAATATTCGATTTAAAGAAATTATGTTCAAATCGAAGAAATTTCTTTATAGCAAAGAAACATTTCTTTAAATCGAAGAAACCTTTCTCTGGGTGAATGAAATTTCAAACACACTGAAAGAAAACTTGGATATGACCTGAATATGGCATAGCATTTTTAATTAATTGCAGCAGTCAATTTTTGGTTGCTGCAACCAAAAATTGATTACTGCAATCGAAAATTGGCTGCTGCAGCCAATTAAAAATGCTACGCCATATTTTACCATCTAATTTGTTGCAGCAGTCAATCTTTTCTTTCAGTGCATGAGCATGAACACAAATTCATCCGTGTTGCTCTGATCTCTGTAATGTTAACGCACTTTGCAAGCGCTAATCTATCAACGTGTAATATGGAATTAATGACACTGTACCAGTTTAGAACGCATCTTGTGTAACTCCATGATTATCAGCCATCAAGCCGATACGCGCGCTTGAGTGGTCATTGAAGCGATGCGATGATCCTGCGAAGAGGAACTGAATGCGCTGATTCTCGCGTTCATGAGTTATAACTCATGAGGTATACGGAGAGCAGGAAATCGATCGTTATCAAAGGTAGATCGTTCACGGGCTACTTCGAGACGAGATAGCATTTCGCCTAGGTCATACCCAGAATAGTCAACCCCGGACATCGTAAAAGCGACACTTGACGCATTCGCGCGCCGCACGAAGTCCAGCCTATACGCTCTTTTGTCGGGTGCCAAATAATTCCTGGGGGAACGTGACAAAGAGTAACGACAGGAACGAGGAAATTAAAAGGACTATAAAAAAGGCACACGTACTGTCGCAATAATCCACTAATTGCTAATGTAATCCACTAATTGCAATGTAATCTACTTTCTAGAGTTGCAATTTTCACCTAATAATGATGTTTTGTACTGTTTTAGTGATATATGTCTGCATCTGAAATTAAAAGAAAATATCGCTGGTGGTATATTAATACCGTTATTATAATTTCAGGAAATATTACGATATATTACATTGTACTGAAATAATTTGACAATTGAATATATCGATGCATTATTCTTAATTACTTCACATGATATTTTTTATAATAAACACGTCGATAAATATAGCTAACGCGGTGCAAGAAGATGATATGGTGTCGTCGCATTGATTACTTTCGACGAATTGATTAAGATTAATGATTCATTAGCGCGTGCAACCTCCGTCAGATGAAATCTCAGTGAGATAAGCTTCGGAATACCTACGACTTTTACGAGCAAATGCGTGATTCAGCACGCGCCCATTGTAAACCGTTCACGTATAATCCGTACGAACGAGATCATTGAGAAGTGATCGATAATTGAGCGAGTGACTCACCGCAAAGCGATTCGAGAATGTCAGTAATCAAGCGAAAAGCGAGCGGAGAGAATGTGGCATTTAACGTGTCGATATTGAATTTGTCTCGCACTCGGGAAAAATAATTATACACGTGAAACGATCGAAATAGCGTAATCCAGAAATCTCGCGGTCTGCCTAGTGATAGGCAGACACTCGTATATAATTCAAGGCGGAAATTGTATCATTCAATCGTGTCAATAGTATGGTTTTCTCGAGCAAAATACTCGTTAATAACAAAAACGTGCGCTAATGCATTAATGTATGCCCCGTAATGAAAAATTATTGTTGTAAGAACTTCGAAGGCAAATATATGATTATGTCGCCTAGGCTGAAATCGAGGTAGTCACCTGCGCAAACAATTGACCCTAATACGGTTGACATGGTTTTAAGGCAATACGCACTCATATATCATGAACACTTTAATGTCAAACTCCATTCATTTTAGTTATCAATATTATCTTTAAATTGAATAATAAAAAAATGCTTAACTCATAACAGGAATATATTTTTGACGCTAAAAGAACATACTAAAGTTTTTGTTAAATAATTTTATTTTTTAAAAGAATTTTTCAAGTTTAGAACTAAAAAATAAGATTACGAAACATCAAAAAAATCGCTCCAAATTATCATTTTAAAATTACTCCGAATTATTATTTTCACCAGGACCTATATATTTCAGTTACGATAATTAAAAATACTCGAGCTCCAAAAAAATTTCTTAACAAAGCTCACTTTTCTTATTTTATTACAGAATATAATGTAAAAATTAATTTGTTATTCAATTTATAGGCCACAAATAAACATTAAAAATACGAGTAACACTTCATTATTTCGGTTTACGAAACAAATCGACGAACAATAAAAATGAATGATTATTGACAAGGACTTACTTGTTCCTTGTCCTTTTCGGTAGCCTCATCCTTGTCCTTTTCTTTATCCTCAGCGGACTCCGTGTGCGGTGCTATGCCGTTGGTGGTTGGCTTCGTGTCGGCCTCCTCGATCCTCTCCAGCTTGCCGTCGCCAGGTGCGGCCGCATCGCCGACGACGCCTCCTTCAGCGGGTATTCCCTCCTTCTTCGGCGTGGTCGTTATATCCACGGACCTCTTGCTCTGTCTCGCTCCCATGTTTGCTTTTTACCTTCTCGTGCCACCTGTCTTTATCTCACTCGCTTTCTGGGTGCCAGGTGGTGTCCACCTAAACCGTCCTGTAATCAGAGCAAAAGAGTCGATTACAATACTTTGCCCAATTTTTCAAAAACATGACGAAAAGTAAAACTAATATTTATAGCGTATACTGCGATAAAATTAAGATCGAAAGGAGAGACCGAGAGCAAGAGCTGACAAATCCGCGTTCGTTCGTGTTCTGCAATTTGACGCAGTTACACGCGTCGATCTGCACAGCGGTTTCGCCGCGGATAAGTTCATCCATCTCGTGAATACGTTGAGGAGCGGGAGTAACTTTCACCGTAGCCAGAGATACATCGAGGATCCTCTCAGCGAATTTACTCCGTGTTGAACGAGAATCTGGTTATAAAGACAAGCGAATCCGAAATATACAGCGATCGCGATTCGAAAACGACGTAACTTACATTCACCTGCGTCAGATTAATCTGATAAGAGAGATATATGTTTATCGATACGCAGCCGCGCCCTTCACAATTGATTGCGACTTTCGCGCAGGTGTGTTTCTCCCTGTTCCGTTTTTTTCTCTCGTTAAAAATTCGTTCGTACCTTACACGACAATGTAGAACGACTGGACAATAATGAGTCGTACGGAGACAGTTCAGAACACAAAGAACAGCGCAACGGAAAAGCTCTTTCATCAGGAAACAACTAAGCATTGTCTTACCCAAGAATTCGTTTCCATTATATGTATTCGGCTAAAATGCGAAAAAAGAAGCATGGAAAAATCAGTAAACGCGTGAAAGCATTCTCAATAATATCAAGCTATTATTTATACAAACAATATTTATGTACATATTATAACGTTACATATAACTGAGTATACGCTGTGCGATGGTTATAAATATCTAACGTTGATCTCGAGCTTATTATTTGCGACGTTTTCCCAATTTAGAACATTGAACTCATAAAGATGTCAAGTTCGGAAAATCCCGACGAATTATAGATCGCTTTTACTGCATTACTTGTGGCACTCCCCATTTTTTTATTTTTTGGTTAACTTGTGATTACACTAACTTGATAATGTAAAATAGTATGTTTCTAGCTATGGTTAGTCCATAAATTATACCCAGAAAAAGTTTCTTCAAGTCAGAAAAAATTTGTTAAATCAAAAAATTTGTACATTACTATACGGTTAAAGAAAAGTTCTTTGATTTAAACGTCATTTTTTGGAATAAAGTAAATTTTTATTTTTCTCAAAGGTATTTTCACTTTCATTTAAAAAGATTAACAGAAGAAACAATTTCTTCAGTTTAAACATAATTTTTCCCTGGAGGTGATGATTTTGTAGTGTGTGAATAAAAGTTTTTTTAAAGTTATCACTACACAAACAGTACAGTTGTTATCTAAAGATTAAACTAAATATAAAGCTGAAAATAATTTTATTAAATTGTCAAAATAATTTATGCTGAACGCTCAAGCTGGTTGTTAGAATAACACATTTTTTTACAGTTATTCATGTTTGAATTTCCTGTATAATTATTTTAATGGTCCAACAAAATTATTTTTAGATCTGTATCTAGTTTTTTAGATACATTTCCTTTTTTATGGAAACATCTAAAAATTTAATTACAGATCTAAAAATAATTTTGTTGAAACTTAAAATAATTATATAGGAAATTCAAACATAATGAGAGAAATGCTACAAAAAAAAATTTAATATGACGCAAAATCATTCTTTCCGTATACACAACCAGCAATTAGTGATTAGTCATAGCTAGAAAAACACAATTTTTACATTATCAGGTTAAGTAAGATTAAGTTTAAATACAAGTTAAAATAAAAAAATGAAAAATTGGGCCTCACTGTGTTACCTGTGACACTCGAAAAAGAACAGAAATACACGTTGTCGTCACGATTCTAATTATCCCCGGAAGAGGAGAAAAATAGCTTGTTGGAAGTGGTCGAGGAGAGCACAAGCGAGGATAACGGTATCGCGATGATGACTTCGCTAGTAACGAAAGCGGAAACGCGCGCGCTGTACCGAGGGAACGGCTGTGAAAAACTGGCACGACGAAGCGCGCTAAAAGCCAGGCTTACCTAGACCGCTCGTTTGTTGTGCGCGCGTTAACGCGCATTTAAACGACCACGTGGCTCGAGTGCTCACGCACGTATCGCCACCGTATGCGTACGCGCGAGCAGCTGACAGCCGTGATGCGTAACGCATCTGTGGTCGCGACGAACTTACGCGAGGTCATTCTTTGTGTGCCAATCGATAAGAAAACTCAAAAGAGAAAAACGGAAATGATAACTTTTGGGATTGTCCAAAGCAAATATATATGTACAAAGTGAATAAATTGAGCACATAAGAGAAATCTTCATTTGAATTTAAAATTCATTCGAATGAATTCTTTGATTTTTTTTTGAAATATCAAAATTTAAGGATTTTTTTATAGCAAAAAAATGCTTTATTAGATATTAATTCTCTTTGAAGTTGTAAATACTGAAAATAAATATTTTATTTAAAAACAATAATGTTATTCTTTTAAGCCGAGCCACTTTTATGGAAAAATGCTTCTCCTTTTTAAATTCTAAATATAACTTATTGTATTGATATAACATATTGTAAAAATAATTTAATTATTTCAATTAATTTTTAATTTAAATATTTAACATATTGTCATAAAAAATGTTTATAGAAAGAGGAAGAAGAGCTTTTGTGTCAATATAAAAACTAATTAAAATAATTTTCATATTAATAACAAAAATTTCTATAACATTTTTTTATAACAGTATGTTAAGTATTACGACTGATAATTAGAACTTAATATAAAATTAATTAAAATTATTTTAACTGACTTTTATGTTAATGACATAAAAATTCCAATAAACACTTTTTTATAATGATATATTAAATATTACAATTACAATTTAAAAAGGAGAGAAACATTTCTCCATAAAAATAATTTAAATAACATTATTCTTAAATAAACAGTTTATTTTTAGTCTTTGCAATTACGAATAAGAGTTAATATCTATTTTGATATTTAAAAAAAAAATCAAAAAATTCGTAAACAAAATTTTCTCTTACGTGCAATTTATTTATTTTGTATTATAAAATAATTAAATATTCTTTTTTATTCCTTGTAATAAATTATATGAGATGCATCTATATCTTATATATGTAAAATAGAGTAAGATAGGTTCTATATATAACGGCGACAAATAAAGAATAAACCAGTACATAAATGCTCTATCTACACTATTACATTTTTATTTCGATTTAAAATAGTTTTCTGTCACGCCGTGATCTATCTAATAATCTTTTGAACGTTTCTCCTCGACACTTCATGTTGATATTTAAAAAATTGATAGAACCAAGCTCGAAAAGTCAATAATCCTATCAACATGACGTATAAGTAACTCTCGCTTTTAGTCATATCTGTCGTGACGTTTCGTCATGATTATATATTTACTTATACTATCTATATTTCCACTTTCAGATCAATTTATCGACAAGCCCTGAATTTCGATTATGCGTCCATGGAAATCTTGTGAATGCGATACCAATAATGTTTGAATTTCCATCGCACAGTTTCTGGATCTTCGCCAAGAAAAAAAAAGTCTCATTAACGAGTACAATTCTCATCGCGCAACGCAAGGCGGAATTGGCTTTCTGCTTTCTAGAAGCGATTCGTTTCTCGAATGAATTCGTCCAGCGCATTCCTCGCGCTACACACGTCGCAGTTAAGTTACGCTGGACGAATGAAAGTCAGCGAGCGAACAGTTGCATTTAGCGCTAATTGAGCGACGAGAATATGTAAGTTGATTCCCTTTCGCGATTGGATTTCGTTTTGCGAAAACAACGAACTGCACGCGTCAATGTGAAGTGAAATCGCGAGTTGCGAAGCAACGACTATGCCGGCTATATCACTGTCACCGCATAACGCTATTTGTTTCAAGGTATCCTATTCACGGTGCATTGCACCTCGTATACGTAGCTATGCACTATGTATCGGCTGACACCATCACATGTCTAGAGTGCGTGACGGATACCGAGACGGAAACATGATGACACAATATTGTCATCTCCATGATAATTCCTCCTCTCAGCTTCGCTCGCATAATTTTTGACATTCCGTCATCACTCGATAACGTAATATAAAAACCCTCCCTGCATTAATTTTATGGAAAACCAACTAATTTCTGTCGTTTAAATGTTTCTGTATTTTTGAAAAAAGGGAGAAAAGTCAAGTGGTCAATTTAATCATTTACATATAGTAAAAGTCATAGAAAGTCTAAAAAAATGCATCGTCATAAAAAACCCCGCATTAATTACATGGAAAATTAGACCCTGATGAAATGTGTTAGTTCATATATAATGTAAATTATAATTATGTAGTAAATAAAAAAAAGATGCCACACACAAAACTCAATAGTGAATAATTTTCGAGCCTACTCGGAGAAAGAGAGTGGTAGCAACTATAAAAATGACAGCTATAAAAGTTTTGTATGTATAATTAAATACACACACACACACACACACACACACACACACACACACACACACACACACACACACACAAATATATATAATTAAATAACTATTTTATAGTTATTACAACTATTAAATAATTTATTTCACCACATATATTAAATTATTCAGCTATGTACGCTGATTCTACTTATTACTTGTGTAGTTGATCATCACTATGCCTTTTTTCGAGTACAAAGATGCTCTATAAACACGAGTTTTACATCTTTGATACTGCAGTGAGAAAAAAAAAGTTCAATTAAATAAATTAATTTTTTTTATAGGAGAATGTATATGAATCAAACATATTTCTCCAACAAAAGAAATAAAGACAAGCTAATTTAATTTAATCAAATGAACAATTTCGTTCTCAGTGGATAGCAAAAACCATTCATTATTGAGTCTTGTGTCTTTTGTTCACATAAAAACTAACTCATTTCACGGAGATCCAATTTATCATAATTAATGCGGGGTTCTTCAACAAAATAGTCGAAAGACACTGAACATTTATTCAGTCTACAAGCACAAGTGGACTCCCACACAGAGATT